TATGAAACGTCAAAACCCATATTCACCCTCATTAATAAAAAGATTAGGTTGTTTGATCGGATCGTATTGAAGATATTGAATTTGTTTTTGGAGTAAAGTGACGTTTGTGTCACATTGTATACTCTATTTAAAATGATAGCAATACTTTTAGCAATGGATGGGTGGATGTGGGTAAAAAAGAAAAATAGAATACTCACCCACATCCACCCACTCTCAAGAAATACGTTATCGACACAAGTAACGCTCGTTCGAGGACTCGCTTAGCCCTTTCTCGTAGAAATGCATCCTCTTCACATCTACTGGAAAAACAGTTGAAGGCCTTGCTCTCCTTTGTTGTCCCTTACTCTTAGCACATACTCGCATCCTACTTAGAGATAAACGCAGATTAAAACATATTTGAGCAGTCGATACCGGTGGCTTGCCGAACTAGCATTTAACGAATAAGTGAAGTATTAGTAATCTTATACGCAAGAAAGCCAACAGTTAATGATCGCCACACTCTGCACTACAAGGAGAGGAACATTTGGATACCCATAAAAATGCATTACTCAAAAACTCGGTTTCTATCAGTCCACGTTACTTCTTTCAGTTGACACTCCTCCCCCTCCCCGCCTTCAGTAGGCTGAACAAATAAGGCGTACACTTGAATTTCCAGCATCGAAATACCTCAAGAAATGAGTTTTCTAAAAAAAATCGATGCTCGATATTTTTTTTACTCTGCGGACACATAATCAAGCAAACAGGAAATCATATAATTTATGTTTACTGGACTCTTCTCTACGAGAAAGAGAATATATTTAAACAGATGATCAAAATAATTTAAATTCATTTTTATTATATCGATTAATTTCATCATTCCATAGTATAATAAGTCTTTGATATGTATACATATCAAAAATTAATTGCCTAAATGATCTTTGAAGACTTTCATATAAAAAGAATGTTATTAATAAAATTTATCATTATTTATTAAATTAAAAAAGAAAAAGGCGAGATGTTAATTTTAAATAAATAATTTGTCAAATAAACATTTAAATAATCAAAATACTCTGAACAGAAAAAACAAGTGATGAAACAAAAAACAATTCTTTAAGATAATTAGTTCATCTGATACATTAAATCATTGTTTTTCTTTTATTAATAATTACATTATCTTTTTTCGTTTTGCATTTGCATACTTTAATGCTTTTTCTAAAAGGAACATAACATAAAATAACTAAGGAATCAAAAATGTTTTTTTCACTTACTATTTAATAGTTCATTTACATTTTCTTTATTTATGTTTGTGTAGAAATTGATATACTCTGTATTATCTAATACTGTTAAAAAAATAAAAAACATTAATACATCTTTATGTAAAATAATTTTCTTACGTTTCACACCGAGTTCATTTTTCATTAAATTACGAACTTTTTGAATTTCATAATGCACCATAGATTTCCTGTTAAGTGAATGATATATTTAAAATCTATATTAAAAAAAATTACCATACCATTTAATCATAAATAGTTCGTCGTCTAATACGTTTTTTTCCTCAAGATAATCAATATTATCTAAAACTTCTGAAACGACATAATGATAAACAATTATAAGATTAATGAATAGTATTTACCTTTCCATTGATCCATATTGAATAAAACATTTGCACGTTCAATGTAATGTTGTATAATTTTATTTTCATCGGTTGCACTTTCTATTATTAAATTTAATATCTAAGAATAGCAAAAATAAAATCATACTTTAATGTTAAGAAGTATAATCTTACTTGCAATTTATTTTCGTTATCTTGTTCCTTTATAGTTATGGATGAGGCCATTTCTTTTATAATGAATTACGATATCCTAAATGTAAAAGAGTTATTGACATAAATGATAGGTTTGTGCACTATTTATATACACATGTGAACCATCAAATAATAAACATTCAGACGGGATACAGAAATGACCAATGACTAAAATAAATAATTATACATTTGAATAAAGATATGCGCATGCTATTAATAATAAAGAAGACTATGCCACTCTCGTTGCGACTGACAAACGGCCGGTAACGATTAGTGGAATAGATATGGTCGTTTCAAAACCAAAATTTATTCCAGATTATTTCGCGTTAGTAATTCGGTATGTTCCACAAGAATAAGAACAAGAACTTTGATGTGGGTGTGAGTGTGGGTACAATAGCAATATATAATACCCACACCCACACCGCACCCTCTTTTGATCTTATTTCATGTATTGCCGATCGAGATGATAGTTGAATATGTTTATTGAACTTTAGAGACATGAAAAAAAAGAAATTTTTTAGAAGCTGCACTTGTCTGTATTATCACATATTATGTTAGAAGTACATAGTGACTAAATATTGTTCAAATTCGTGGTATTGATTAAACACAGTTCTTTATCAGTAGTACGCACTGATCCAAAGAAGTAACCTCATCGATGGTTAGGTACTATATATGTGTATATACATACAGCGCAAAAGGAATCAAAAAAGGTAAATCAATCTTACGTTAAAATGGCCAAAATGATGAGTGGATAGGGATGAAATAGGAATGTAGGCTGGGATATAGGTTATTTATTTTATAGAAAGAAAATAAACAAAAACAAAAGCGAAAAACAATAATAGTGGGGAGGGACGAAAACTAAGGAGATGGGAGAAGCAAAGAAAAGCAAGTGATACAAACTAGAACAAAAGATCAACTGAATGAAAAATAAACTAGAGAGAAAACAAAAGTGGGAAAAAATATATAGCGGGAGAGAGAAAAGAGCAGAACGAAAAGAAGCTGATGTATGAAAACTACGAAGACACTAAGAAGAGGGAGTATGTAGAACCTTGATCATGAGCCGTGACCAAATAAGTTGGCGGTAACTTAGTAATAACTGTTACTGCTAACACCAATCTAATAGTGAAATGTTAGTGAATAAAAAGAGTCTAGTTCATGAATAAGTTTCAACAGTTAAAGAGAACACCGACGTTGTTCGAACCTCGGTTTGCGACAACAATATCCGGTTTGTTGTCACCATTCACATCGACTACTGCGACTGAGTATGACTCACTGCCAGTTGGATAAGTCGTTTGATTGAGAAACGTGCCATTGCCTTTGTTGAGGAGAACACCCACACCGTCCGAATTGTAGTTTGAATAAACAATATCAGGTTTATTGTCACCATTCATATCAGCTACTGCGACTGAGGTTGGATTAGTACCAGTTGAGTAAGTAGTTTGAGGAAGAAACGTCCCATTGCCTGTGTTAAGGAGAACACCAATGTTGTATGACCAGTAGTTTGGGACAACAATATCGGGTTTATTGTCACTATTCATATCGACTACTGCTAATGTGCATGGCCAACTGCCAGTTGGGTAAGTAGTTTGATTCAGAAACGTACCATTGCCTTTGTTGAGAAGAATACCGACGGTGGCCGAATACTCGTTTGGGACAACAATATCGGGTTTGCTGTCATTATTCACATCGACTACTGTTACCGAGTATGGTCCACTACCGGTTGAGTACGTAGTTTGATTCAAAAAGCAACCTATCATATACAAAGAACATTTTTTTATCTGTAGTGAGATAGAAACAGCATCTCTTCCTCGCAGTTTTTAGAATTTTTAAGCATTCATTTCGGCTGGTATCAAAGCTGTGGACAGCATTATCTAAACTCATTTTGATCAATTTTCAATACTCAACAATGTAATTACGATTGCTTTTCTCTCCTTCTATGCGTCTTTCGGTTCAATCTTCTCGTATAATGAAAATCCAGCGAGTTCATCTGATTTCCATTCGTTTCACTTGAAGGTTTCTCCTTAGTCAACGTACTTCAATCGATATTCATTCATTCTTTCTTTGGTGTACTGTTGTCATATTTAATGCTCTTTCAATTAAATTCAACGTAATTTACATATTCTGGACTATACCAGCTATACACAGGACAACAGATTCTCTTTCCCAGAATGCTCTAGATTCTTTTCTTAACTAGCTAGAAAGAGTGAGTTGAAGAAGATATGACACTCATAAGAGTCAGCGAGGACATAGTTTAGCTCTATTCAAGTATCTCATTTTAAATCGATGAGGGTTTTTTGAAAGTTTTCAAATTATCTATTAAAAGTATTGATTTTAGAGATAGATGGGATAACGTTTTAGAATAAATCTCAATGCATACAGACCAGCTAAGTTTTTCAGATAATCTGTGCAAATCTAATCAAAACAAACTCACGTCAAATAATTCAGTGTATGAAACGATGTTGCTAGGAAAGTTCTCATATTTTCATGCAAGGTTTCAGCTGATCATTGTAAAACTTAGAAATCAAAATACCAACTGGCCCTTAAATCTGTCGAATTTTTTAATAAAACAACGAGCAAAACTATTCAAATATGTTATAATAATTTGTTTAATCCAAGGTCAAGTGAATATAGATGGTGTCTGTATAGAGTGATATGAATAAAAAAAACAGCAAACTAGAAAAGAGAAAGCCTGCCGTGCACTTTTCTTTTATTGATTTTATTGTTTATTTGGTTGGGTGAGGTTAAAACGTAAGTTAAGTTTGATAGATAATCATGAACATCATGACAAAATAATCTGTGGTTCTTGATCCGGACTCGTTTACAAACTGCAAGTCTTCTTTTGCTTCCTTCTCACTTTAACTCTTATTTCGTACATTCGCTCGAGACAAAGTTGGAACATAAATTCTTTTTACTGAAGAAACCAGTGAGATGCAAGTTATAACTGATTTGCAGTAGAATTTGTTTGCTTTATGGTCGATTGAAAGTCAGCTATATAGTTATTATCAGAATTTTAAAAAAAGAGCATTGAGCAAAATGCTTATAGATTTTTAAGTAAGACAACTAGAGACCTGTGATTTTAACTACTTGAAAGAGGAGCTTGGGGGACGCAAACCCATGCAAAAATAACATTTTCAGAAGTGTGTTTCAAGCCGATTCTGTTTTCTGAAAGAAAGGTTTATACGGCGTTTAAATACGCTACCTAAAAATGCTTAAAGTTCTACTGTCTGTCCAAGCCAATTAAAATTCAGTATGCGCTAAATCAATAAAAACTCAGCAACAGCTTCCAAAGAAAGTTGGATCAAAATTTTTCGGGGTGGAGAATCGGAATCCGACGTCAGGTTTTTGGAAAAAAAAATGTTTTGTTAAATATTCCATACAAATGATTGTAAGGCAAATCAAAGATCTCTTAATGAGCTCTCACACATTGTAACGATAGAAATTCGAATAAATATGGAAAAAGCACTGTATATTGAATTTACCATAATAATAGCTTAACTTGCATAGTTTAATTGAAGATCTTACCTTCTCTTCGGTGTCAGTGATCTATCCCTTCAAGGACAAAAACTTACTAGTTTACTCTGTTAAAACAAAAAAGAAAGCTTGGGATTAAGCTTGAGTAGTCGCGTAACTGAATGCATTTATAAAGTAATCATGGCTTTTGCGACACTTCATAAAATATAAATACATACTCTTTAATGCTGCTGTTGTTGTTGTCGTTGTTGTTGTTGATGATGTTGATGTAGTTGTTGTTGTTGTTGGTGGTGCTGCGATATAAAAACAGAGCATAAACAAAAGAAAATCGAATGTGATCTTAATATGAGTGAGTAGTCTGAATTGTGGAAGAAGCAAATCATACGCAGTTTTATCATTCTTTTCTCTGGAACGATGTGTTTAATATATAAAAAGAGATATTTAAGATATCTCACTTTGTATACATTCGCTTTTATGATTTATATGATAGTAAAAAAGATGCTAGTTTTATGGAGTCTTCCATTCAGCAATTATGCCAATTACTGTTGCTCTCTGTAGTGTAAATGATAAAAGTCATGCGATAATATGAATGGATGAAATTCATAGTGGATATATATCAGCACTAAAGCTCTTGATTTTTTGGAATATTGATCATGACTATTTGCGTTTCGGAAGGTAGGATTCGGGTTAGTTTCTGATCTTTATGTGTTCGTCATTCTCTCGACATACTATGAGCCTCAATTGATATTCCTCCCTTTTTTTTGTTTCTGTTATCAGATTTCATTTATTGATCAATCTGTTATATATAGGAAGAAAGTCCGAAACGCCTAGCATCTTGTGGTATAGATACGTTGAACAGCCAATGTAGTTTGAAGTATGAAAAATGTACTTAGAACCATTTGATATTTTGTTTTCACTACAGTATATATCTATATCTATGATTTTGTGAATAAATTTTGACAAGAATAAGATCGATCTATGGTTTCCACTGCAATATATACATCAATTTTTTGAAAAAACTTAGTTAAACACTCTGGAAAAGCTTGTCAAAAAATCTGAAATATACGATTCGATGTGAATTCATCTACTCTTTCGAACAGTGAAAACCATAGATCG